CAGGGACTCATAGACCAATGAGTATAAAGAGGGATTGTGTAATATTTCAGGTTTCATATATTAACTTTTAGGAGCTCATCACAAGAATCAAAGCTCTCCTGAGAGCTCAAGGGAAAGAAGACTTATCAGTGTATTATACTAATTAAAAACAGTTTAAAGTTCAGCTGAATTAAAATATGGCTCAGCTATTATTACCTCATCTGCCCTGATGTCTTCTCCATTTATTAAGATCACTAGTGGCCCAGTGCACAAATTGGTGCACTTTGAAAGGAAATTAATTAGAAGGTGGCCAGCGGGGTGGGACTGGGCGAGATAGGCTGGACACACTCTGGAACCAACCTCCCCAGCCAGCCACACCTGGGGTGGCATCATGGTTCAAAGGGCGTCTGCAGAATGATCCGGGTCCCTCTAGAAGGTGGGGTCCCTTGGCCTGGCCTGTAAAGTCTGTGGGGACTGGGCCAAAACTGGCTCTCTGACATCCTGGAGGGGTCCCAGAGTGCGAGAGTTGGTGCTTCTGCACAACTCCTGTGTTGAGCATCTGCCCTCCTGGTGGTCAGTGTGCATCATACCTACCAGATGGTTGGCCGGTTGCTTCATCATATATATATATACTAGAAGCCCTGTGCACAAAATTCGTGCATGGGGTGGGGGTTTGTCCCTCAGCCCAGCCTGCACCCTCTCCAATCTAGGACCCCTCAAGGGATGTTAAACTGCCTCTGGGATTGGATTTAAATGGGCAGTCCGACATGCTTCTCACAATCCAGGACTGCTGGCTCCCAACTGCTTGCCTGCTGCCTTCCTGATTGCCCCTAACCATTTCTGCCTGCCAGCCTGATCACCCCTAACCACTCCCATGCCAGCCTGATTGATGTCTAACTGCTCTCCTTCCAGCCTGTTTACCCCCAACTTCCCTCCTCTGCCAGCCAGGCCACCCTTAACTGCCCTCCCCTTCAGGGTTGATCACCTCCAACAGCCCTCCCTTGCAGACCTGGTCCTTCTCAACTGCCCTCCCTTGCAGGCCTGGTGACTCCCCTGCTGGCCATTTTGTGTCCACATAGGGGCAGCTATCTTGTGTGCTGGAGTGATGATCAATCTGTATATTACTTTTATTTTTATTATTTTTTAAAAATAAGTTTTTTCTTGCCGGGACCTGTTTGGCTCAATGGATAGAGCGTCGGCTTGGGGACTGAAAGGTCCCAGGTTCGATTCTGGTCAAGGGCATGTACCCTGGTTGCGGGCATATCCCCAGTGGGGGGTGTGCAAGAGGCAGCTGATCGATGACTCTCTCTCATCGATGTTTCTGACTATCTCCCTTCCTCTCTGTATAAAATCAATAAAATATATTTAAAAAAAAAAAAGAATTAAAAAAAAATTACTTTGCGAAAAATAAGTTTTTTCTTTTTTTAATATATTTTATTGATTTTTTTACAGAGAGGAAGAGAGGATAGTTAGAAACATCGATGAGAATCATCGATCAGCTGCCTCTTGCACACTCCCTACTGGGGATGTGCCCGCAACCAGGGTACATGCCCTTGACTGGAATCTAACCTGGGACCTTTCAGTCTGCAGGCCAATGCTCTATCCACTGAGCAAACTGGTTTCGGCTTCATATTACTCTTATTAGATAGGATAGAGGTCTGGTGCATGGGTGGGGGCCAGCTGGTTTGCCCTGAAGGGTGTTCCGGATCAGGGTGAGGGTTCCCTTGAGGTGTGGGGTGGCCTGGGAAATGGGGCTATGGTGGTTTGCAGGCCAGCCATGCCCCCCACGTTGACCCAAGCAGAGGCCCTGGAATTTATTTACCTTCTACAATTGAATCTTTGTAGCCTGGAGAAGAGCCAAGCCTCCTGCTTGCTCCATAGCTGCAGCCATTTCTTTTTGGATTTGTTTACCTTCCATAATTAAAACTGTATCCTTGAGTGGAGACCTAGGCCGGCCAGGGCAGGTGGAAAGCTTGGCTTCTGTTGCCGGGAGCAACTCTAGCCTGCTCTCTCCAACTCCGTGGCTGCCGCCATTTTTCTTGGGATTTATTTCCTGTAATTAAAACTTTGTATCCTTGAGTGGAGGCCTAGGCTGGCCAGGATGTGTGGAAAGCTTGGCTTTTTCTATTGCTAGGGAAACCCAAGCCTCTTAACTGCTCTCTGTGGCTGCAGCCATCTTGGTTGGGGTTTATTTGCATACTCGCTCTGATTGGCTGGTGAGCGTGGTTTGAGTGGAGTGATGGTTACTTTGCATATTACTTTTATTATGGTAGGTAGGATATAATATATATAATATATATGTGCCTCTCTGTTCTCCCAGAATTTCTTCTGCTCTTTTCTCTCTCACTATATTTTCCACACTATATTTTAACTTATCTGCCGAATGTTCTGCCTTTAGTTCAGCAGTCGCCAAGCAGTGGTCTGCGGACCATTGGTGGTTTGTGAGGTCCAAAAAGTTGGCGACCGCTGCTCTATACTATAACCATCTTGAGGAGTGATTTTGTCTTTTCATATCTGTACCCCTAAGATATACAAACTGATAAATCTAACAATTTACTGAATAACCAAGTCTTCTTTTTACTTGAGTAAACCATCAAAAAATCTAAACCATTGCTACTCAAAACCCATTAATCATTTGTTTATGATGAGATGAACCAGAATGGTTTTTTTCTTTGAGTAAGTCTTGCTTTTTAAAAAATGTCTAAATTAAACTGTGCTTTAGTAATGCAGCTGATTTACATTCTTGCCCCACTTTGATCCAAACACTTTTTAGAAAAAGATATTTTTCATAAAGAAAGAAAAATGCTAAGGAATAGGTGGTTAAAATTAACTTTAGGGTCTTTATCCATCTTTATAAAACACACATATATTTACAGATACTCAAAAAGATGTAAAATAAAGACACCTATTTTCACTGGTAAAAAATAAATAAATAAAGACACAGGGCACTTAACATTTTTTAAAAGCCAACACGCGTTAAAAAAAACCTAATAAACTTTTAATTTTTTCCTTTTTTGTAACAGGACAAGTAACAGATTACATCAAACTTCAGAACTTCTCAAATATCTAATTATTATACACATTCCCATCTGTCTTGCAGGGAGGGATCTTGGTCAGAGTAACAGTTTCAGGTAAAATAAGCTGCATAATAGTATATATTACAATAAGAAGTGTACAATGTTTACATGAAGTATGTTTTAGAAGCAAGATAAAGATGTATCTGCATCAAAATGCTATCTTTTAAAATGCCACAACTATTTTTACATTCATTCTTGCAACAAGTCACAAGATGGGGTCACTAAGCTCAGATAAATCACTATGATGCACATAAAATGGTTATTTTATATATTATATATATTTATATTTTCACACGTTAGCATCTGAGACATAAACTGAGAATTTAAAATTTATTCTCTTCAGATAACAAATCATTTTTATTCTTCATAAACATAGTGCCCACAAAAGCACATAGGTAAGGCACAATAGGGTTTTCTGTTACAGAACAGTGTGCATCATGTTTATTTAACCAGAAAACGTGCATTATCTGTGCAAGTTCATGCTGCAAAACCAACACATATACAATAAAAACCAAAAAGGAAACTGAGCTTTAAACAAAATAAAAATTGGTACAACTTCAGCTGTTTCACATATTCATTTGGACTGACAATGATATATCAAGTTTATTTAAAAAAAGAAAAAAGAAAAAAAAAGCCCATTGTGGAATTACAAGTAAACTTTGCTCCACAATTATTTTAATCTGAAATCAAAAACAGTAATAAAGTAACTTTACTGAAACAAAGTAAATACTGAGGCACAAAGCAATAGTCACTCGTGCATTTACTATATTGCAAACTTTTCATGACCCAAAACTGTAGATATAACTTTTCAGATACACATTTCGCTGAAACAATGTGCCCTGCTTTAAACTTGACATACACAGGGGAGCTAATATTTTATTAAGTTATAAATAGATTGGGAAAATTACTTAATCCCAATGGTACTATATCGTTGCCCTAGTATTTATAATAAATACAGCTTTTCACAAAATACTTTTCCAATATCTGCCAATTGCTTCTTTATTGCTCACATAAATTTGAAACCATTACAACTGGTATCGAAACTTTCACACAAAATCATATTCAAGACATTTTTATATAAAACCTATAAAAGATATTTTAAACTTGTATCTAATACTTCCAGGGTTTTGGCTGTTTGATCTATGTGATAGTACAGCCATATGTATATATATGTGTGTGTGTGTGTGTGTGTGTGTGCGCGCACACACACACACACACACACACACACACACACATATATATATACACACATATACACATATACATATATATACACTTTAGATTATGAATAAAATAGGAAGCTTATTTTACTGCTTTAGTGCAGACATCCTCACAAAACAAGACTACTTTTGCCACCACCAGCAATTATACATATATACAAAAGCCAGTTTAAGTACATGTACATCCAATTATACTTATATGTAACCACTAAATCCAAATTAGTTTTCCCATATTCCAGCTGTAGCAAATGAATCTCTTACAAGCAATAGGTTAAATTGGAAAATGAACCTTTTTACCACATTAGCCTGTAAGGATCTATACAGGTTACTGTATACAAGAATTCACAACATTAGTTCACAGGAAATTATGGAAATACAAGCCTCTTTACCATGCTTTTGTGTGATTATCAAAACACTTTTTGGTGCAAAAATACCACCACCACATCTGAAAATACATATAATAAAGTCAATGCTCCTCATGCAAAACTTTAAATGCATTGGCTTAAATGAGCTCCAAAAAAATTGAATGAAACAATTATTTACCTACTCAGCATTGCTGCCTCATTGCTAAGTCCCTTTGGAACTTTAAGATTTCTGGAACGTTCAAATAGAGCTGTATTCAATAAAAATATTACATACAAAAAGCATTTAAAAAGGAAGACAGGAAACCAAACTGGAATTTTTCTATTGTAAATAACAGTTCTAGGAGTGGAAGAAAGTCTTTTCAGGAACCTCCTTGAGAATTGGCTAAGCCAGTCCGCAGACGAAGATGAGACATAGAGTTCATATGTTTATTTGATGGCTTCAAGGGAGTGTTGCAAGTAAGAGCGTGGGGAAAGCGATGGTGATATCTATCTAGTCGTAAATATTTTACTGTAACCAATTTCCCTGTGTAAGATAAAAATAGTATTTTAGATCTGTAAAAATGTGTTTAACAATTTATAGAAAAACTGTGGTAACAACATACAACACAAGTTAACATAATCTAAAATTATTTGTGTAAAAATGCTTAACTTAAAATTCTTTAATTTAAAATCTGGTATACTTTAAATAGTAAGCCATAATTTATCTCTTTAAAATGTTTATAATACTCAAATTTCTTACCATCAAACCAAGAGCCATGCAATGCCTTAAAAGCTTTCCCAGCATATTCTGGAGACAGACATTTAACATATACACAACCCTGCGATATTAAAATAAGAGAGAAAGAACAGTCTTAGTTTAATAGCAACAAATTCAAAATGTACAATTCAATAGTAAAAAGTTACTTTACCTCACGTGAATTTTTGTCTACGGCAATATGAACAATACCATCATTATCACTGCATTTTTCTAAAATTGCTTCTTGAATTGCCAAATGCCACTGATCCCCTATTTCCCTAAAAATTAATGAAAACAAAAATCAACAACCATATTCATACTCAGTATGCAGTCTTTTGTCTCTAAAACATATATATCCTGCTAGAATGGGGATACTTTAAAGAGGTAGTAGCAGCCAAAACCGGTTTGGCTCAGTGGTAGAGCATCGGTCTGTGGACTGAAAGGTCCCGGGTTCGATTCCGGTCAAGGGCATGTACCTTGGTTGCGGGCACATCCCCGGTAGGGGGTGTGCAAGAGGCAGCTGATCGATGACTCTCTCTCATCAATGTTTCTAACTCTCTATCTCTCTCCCTTCCCCTCTGTGAAAAATCAATAAAATATATTTTTTTAAAAATTAAAAAATAAATAAAGAGGTAGTAGCAAATAAATGCTTGATACTAGAGGTAGATTTAAAAATAGCTTATAGCTTATATGTGACATATTATGGATTCTAGGTAATAACTTTAGACTGCTATTCTCTGGATGCATGTGCTGCTATAATTATATACACAGAAATGTTTCTCAACTATTAAATGGGCAGAAAAGTTTTTCAAATATTACATGGATAAAAAGGGTCGTGCAAGGGAAGGCATGTAATATTTTTGTAGAGAATTTTTACAAGATTAGAAATTTTAAAATAGATATTTTTATCTCTATTGCACATTGAGGCAAAGAACATAGGCATACATGACTGATACGTTTAATAAAGAGCACTGTTTGTATGGTGTGTGTTATTAATTTGACTCAAGCATTTATCTGCTATGTGAGTAAGAATTATAAAAGTTTTACAAATCATTATACATCTGGGTCTTTTAGCCAAACCTTTGGTTGCAATATAACAAAAAGAGAAAAATATAACCTTTCTGTAGTTAGAAATTAAGAAGGAAAAGAGATTTTTTAATTACAGCCACAGTATTGTAAGAATACCACTGATTTTTCAGCCAAATATACCAAATAAAAATTACATATACCCCTGATCATAATACTTACATAACTGGATCAAACATATTTCGAATTTTGAGACACGGCGTCAAACTATTTGGTGGTGAATTTCTTCTATCTAAATGAAATGCTACAAAAAACAAATTAGTTTTACTATTTTCCATTATTCCAATTTATTAAAAAGGTATTTAATCATTCAATTCATTCAAAAATATTTACTGTGTATTTTTTACTATGAGGCAGACCTCTGGATGTTAAGCTTTATAAGATTGTAATTGCTCTCAGAGAATTTAGTTTAGTGGGGGAGACTTGAAAAATAGTGTTACCCAAGAAATCGTAAGTGTGGTAAAATCTAAGAAAGAGCAGTACAGAAAGCTCTCTAGGTAACTTAAGTTAAGTCTAAAAGTATCAGATAACACTTCAGCAAGGTAGTGACATTTATGCTGGGACCTAAAGAATAAATAAAAATAGGCAAGTGAAGAGAGGAGTAAAGTGAAGCAAGAAGGAACTTGGTCTATTCAAGTAACTAAAAGACATCCATTGTGCTAGAGTGAGGACAAGAGAAAGATAAACCTGAAGAGAGAGATGTCAGATTGCTTGGGACTATGTAGGTCACAAAGTATTTTAGGGATTACCATAAGTGCAACAGAAAGCCACTCAAACATTCTCAGGAGAGGAATGATTAATATCGCAAATAACAATGAGATCTGTCTTTTAAAGTTACAAATTTTAAAAACAGACAACCATATGGAGAATAACTTAGGTGGAAGCAAAAATGAACACCAGTTAGAAGGTTATCATAACCCGGCCAGCATGAATCAATGGTTGAGTGTCAACCTATGAACCAGGAGGTTACGGGTCCAATTCCCAGTCAGAGCATATGCCCAGGATGTAGGATCTGTCCCCAATGTGGTGTGTACAAGAGGCAGCTGACCAATGATTCTCTCTCATCATTGATGTTTCTATTTCCTTTCCCTCTCCCTTCCTCTCTAAAATTAGTAAAAATATATTTTAAAAAGGTTATTATAGTTATCTAAGAGTGAAATTATAGTAATGTGGATAAGAAAGGACAACAATGCAGATGTAAATAAATGGATAGAATTGGGATCTATTTTGGAGTAGATCTGATGTAACTCATTTAAAAACTCCCAAGTGGAGGAAGATAAGAGAGATTATGGGTGACTCCTAGATGTATGGCAGAACAACCAAGGAAAAGTGTCATTAATCAGAAAGGAACACCAAAAAAGAGGTCAGTTTGGAGAGAGAAGATAGTGAGCTCGTGCATATGTTGAATTTGTAGTGCCCATCTCCTAATAGAGAAGCAAGCATATAGCTAGGTATAAGAATCTGAAAACTAAAACAGAATACTAAGTTCAAAATATAAATATAAATTTGGAAGTTATTAAGGTATATGATAAATGAAGTCACAGCAAGAAATCAGTCAGGGAGATAGGTAAAATGAGAAAAGAAGATGGCCTTGATAAACTTAACACCTAAAGGTAGAAATAGAAAAGATGACTGAAGAAATTGTCAGAGGTAGGAAGAAACCATTAGAAAATGGCATCCCCAAAGCCAAAAGAAGAAAAGTTTCTAGACAGGCTCAATTGTTAATAGTTTTAAGTATAATAAGGACAGAGAACAAAAAAATCCATTAGATCTAAGGACAGAGAACAAAAAAATCCATTAGATCTAAGGACAGAGAACAAAAAAATCCATTAGATCTACCAATACAGAAGTTTGAGAGCTGTTTCCTTAGAATGAAGGGGATATAAAACAGACACGAGTCAGCTGTAAAATAACCGAGAGGTGAAAAAGTAAAGACTATGAGTAAAATGTTTAACACTATTTGACTGTAAATAGGTAGTAGCTATATGACAACATAGAATCCAACACTGTGTTACAGATGAAAGAGACTACAGCATATTTAAATGATGATGAAAAGATCCAGTTGATGTAGGGATGTAAAACAGTAAGGAAAGATACTTGAGAAGACCCCAGATCAAGAAAGTCTGTGAACTTCTAGTACCTTAACAGTATATAGGTTCTGTTCTTAGATGATCTTTTAATTGTGGGCAATCTGACTTCCTTGAAAATTCCAATATTGGCCTGGGCCATAAGGTGATGAATCAGAAGAAAAAAACACTCATACTACCTTACGCTAGCTTAGACACAAATTTCCACTAATCAGAAAGTAGTCTCAAAGATGAAATTGATTTTTAAAATAAATGCTTTGTCTCACTAACAGAACTGTAATCACTTCCTGTGCAAAGTAAAGATATAGCAGTTACTGAATGCTACATTTTAAATACCTTAATAAAGGCTGTTAATTCCAAACACTACATCTGTCAGAGGGTAAATAGCTCTCTGACTCCTCAGCAGGTATTGTTCGATTTTAAACTGGTGCTTTAAAATACCTTTAGAAATACTAATATTATATAACCATCTAATTTATAAACAACTACCTTCCTTTTAGAAATTGAACTAAAAATTCAATAAGGTCAATTATTTAAAAATACTATTAAATAACAACAGTTTGTAGTGGTAGTAAATTCATACGACTACTATAATTAACAACTCTTCAGCCATGTATCTTTATAATTAAATCATAGCATTTATAAGGGGAGAAACATTAATTTTTTTAATACATTAAACTACCTTTTTACATAAACTAACAAAACCCCTCAGTATACAGCCAGATTTATACAGCATAACATTTGTTAAGATACATTTAAGTGAAAGCAATTTATTTTATGTATTAATATTTTTGAAAAGCTATATCAGAATCACTTAGATACATTTAGATAGACTATATATTTAATGGCATAAAATTAGTACTAAAACTAGATTCTATATTAGAGGCAAATGAGGCAAAAGATAGACAAGATAACTCAGTACTTAGCATGTTTAATACACCAAAACTTTGATTAAATATTAATATAAAAAATACTAGGTCCCTGGCTCAGTTGGTTGAATGTCATCCCATGCACCAAAAGGTCACCGACTCAATTTCCGGTCAGGGCACATACCCGGGTTGGGGGTTCAATCCCCAGAAAGGGGGTTGCAAGAGGCAGCCAATCGATGTTTCTCTCTCTCTCTCCCACTTCCTTTCTAAAAATAAAAACATTTTTTAATTAAAAAGTAGAACACTTTAAAAATTATATCAATTCATGTTATTGTATTACATGAATTGCATAACTGACAAAGATGTGTTTTATCACACTTGAACAGTCTTTTCCTAAAGAAAATGACAAAGTAAAAATAACAGTCTCAGTTTTTAAATCTTAGTTTATAGAGCATCCAATTTAACACAAAGTAAATCAAACTTATAAATATGTAAGAACAATCTGGATTATTATTTGGGCGAGAAACTGCCTTTAGATTTGTCTTGAAAATCTCACGTTTAAAAAACAAGACAAATTATTGTATTTTTTAAATTCCTATGAACAAAATAATGGCCTTTTCTAGAACCTCAAAGGCATTCATAAGTACTAATTGCTAGTTCTATGAAGAAATCAGGCTAAGACTCTACACCTATTATTAACAGGCATTTAGGTAATCAGATCTGATTGGCTTTGAATTGTTTCTACTGTCAAAGGGCCCTTCTGCATGCACCCTTTAAAATAAATAGTTTAGTCCTCATTGGTTTGGCTCAGTGGATAGAGCATCAGTCTGTGGACTGAAGGGTCCTGGATTTGATTTTAGGTCAAGGGCACATGCCCAGGTTGAGGGCTTGGTTTCCAAGAGGGGACGTGCAGGAGGCAGCCAATCAATGTTCTCTCTCATCATAGATGTTTCTCTCTTCCTCTTGCTTCCTCTCTGAAATCAATAAAGATATTATTTAAAAATAAAACAACACAAAGCACCCTAAATAGTTTATTGTTTAGTGCCATCTTTGGCAATGTCAAAGCTTCCTATTTATGCCATGATTATATTAAGCTTATTATTCAAACTCTTTAACAGTAGAAATTAGAAAAAATGGGATCTTATTGTAATTTCAAAATAATTTACTGATCTTTCCCATAAAAGCTATGCTTAGCAAACATTGATGAATATGCTTTTATCCAACAAGATTAAAGAAAACTCAACTCACTACTAGTCCTGAAATGTAAATTAAACCAACCATGAAATATAATTTTTCCACTAACCATTAAGATTCAAAAAATTCAAGTGAGGTAACAGGTATCACTAGTAGAGGTTTGGTTACATGAGACAACCAATTACCAAACCTTCTTATATACTTATATGTACACACTTTTGTAATTATGCAAGCATTAAAAATATATAGAGAGAGATGCCCAGAAAAGCTATATGGCATGAGGGATATGAAGGCAAGTAAAAATTGGGAAAAGGAGCAATTAAAAACTTATAATTCCATTTAATATTTTATATATATAGCATTATATATGTAAAACATATATGTATATATATATATATAAAGCATGTGTCTTATCTGCATAAAAATTACAGGGAAATGCAATTAAATCTTTAATAACTAAGTTGCTTTATTAAGTAAAAAAGGAAAAAAATTTAAAATAATGTATATAGCATTCTACTACAGAAAAGACAAATCATTTAAGTTTTTATAAGCCAGGAGAAAGTGGAAGGACATATAAGGAGCTAGCATGAATTCCTTCTATAGGATGAAACTAGTAGGGAAGCTTTGCTTTCATTCCTTGTTCAATTGTACTATTTTAAACTAGTGGCTTAATGCACCTATTTTAAACTAGTGGCCTGATGCACGCAATTTGTGCACAGCGGGAGGGGGATGGTGGTGGTGGGGGGATCCTCTCAGCCCAGGTTGTACTCTCTCCAATTGGGAACCCATTTGGGGGTGTCCTACTGGCAGTCAGACATCCCTCTTGCAATCTGGGACCGTTGGTTCCTAAGCACTCCCCTGCCTGCCTGATCATCCCTAATTGCCCTCCCCTGCCAGCCTGATTTCGCCCCAACTGCCTCTGCCTGCCTGATCTCACTCCCAACTGCCCTCCCCTGCAGGCCTGATCTCACCCCCAACTGCCCTCCCCTGCCAGCCTGGTTGCCCCCAACTGCTCTCCCCTGCAGGCCTGATCTCACCCCCAACTGCCCTCCCCTGCCAGCCTGGTTGCCCCCAACTGCTCTCCCCTGCTGGCCTGATCTCACCCCCAACTGCTCTCCCCTGCTGGCCTGATCTCACCCCCAACTGCTCTCTCTTGCAGGTCTGATTGTCCCCAACTGCCATCCCTTGCCAGCCTAATCTCATCCCTAACTGTCCTCTCCTTGCCAGCCTGGTTGCTCCCAACTGCCCTCCCCTGTCAGCCAATTTGGTTCTGATTGGTCAGTTTCTGTGCCAGTCAGCATCAAAAGCTCTGCCTCCTAGGCAGCCATTGGTTCCTCACACTTCATTGACATTTGGTTCTGTTGGTCAGTTTCTATACCAGTCAGTGTCTCTGGGATTATCCATGGGGCCTAATCAGAGAGGAAGGACTTATCAGTAGCCAGGGTGGAGGCCTGGAGAGAAATGGAGGAGCGGCTTCTGGCCAGACTGGGAGAGAAAGAGAAAGGCAAGGGCTGACCAACAGCTGCCACAGAGGCAACTTGGGATCACGCTGGGGTTCTTTTTCCTCAGCCTTACAAAGGTTTCAGCATTCTGAAGGGCTGTGCATAGATGAGGAGTCTGTGGACGAAAAATATTTTTGATAAGCATTGGGGGTCAGAGGAGCTTCCAGTTGAAGGAGCTAGAAGACTCTCCTCCTTGACCAAGGACTAGTGTTTTTATTAAACACAATTTGCCCAAGCTAGGTGGAAATATACACTTCAAAGAGTATGGTATCAAAGGGTTTTCAGAGATTGTCAGTTTTGGGAATAGCCTACAACTGTTCAGGTGTTTGGCCAACATGAGGCAATAAAACTCCCTGAGCTGCCCTAACCGGTTTGGATCAGTGGATAGAGGGTCAGCCTGCGGACTCAAGGGTCCCAGGTTTGATTCCGGTCAAGAGCATGTACCTTGGTTGCGGGCACATACCCAGTAGGGAGTGTGTAGGAGGCAGCTGATCAATGTTTCTCTCTCATTAATGTTTCTTACACTCTATCCCTCTCCCTGCCTCTCTGTAAAAAAAAAAAATCAATAAAATATATATATATTTTAAAATGCCCTGAGCTGTCTAGCAGTTAACAATCCATTCAAATTTGAGGGGAGAGCCTTTTAGCCATTTCCAACAGGTAAACTACATGTGTCTCAGGCCTGTTGAGCTCCCCAAGCTTCACCAACCTTTTGGTAAAACTCTTGTAATTATTACATGCTGCAATTGGTTCTCGGCAGGATCAGTCCCTGCTTCTTTATTCAGGCCTCTCTCTGGCCCTGATTCGCAGCCCCCTTCAGTGCTGGGGCACCGCACCTGCAGCGGAAGCAGTCAGAGCTGGGTTGATCTGGCTATCCAGTCTGACTGCAGGACTGACTTCCAGTTGGTTGAGCTCGGTCATCTAATATATAAAAATCCTGTCACGACCCAGGATTTTTATATATTAGAATAACGTTAAGACTTGTAATTGAAAATAACAAAACAAATTTATGCTTGTATTTTTTGTTGTTTAAAATTACATACCTTGACCTTGCCATACTTTTGAAGGTATTACTAATATTTTGTCACAGGACGCAGAAGGTTGGATCCACCGCCAAACTAGGAAATCCGCACCACCTATTCTTCGTGTTTCTGTGCGAACTCTAGACTCGTTAGCAGCAAGGAAGTCAACGGCTCTATCCCAGACTTTCTTCATTCTTTTTCTATTATGTAAAAAAAAAAATGATTATCATCTTGGCTTATTATTTTTTCAAATATTAATAACTAAAGATAGTGTTATTGTTAATTCTGACTGTTCTTATTACTGAATTTCAAACTTTAGAGGTAGAGCATAATCATCAGTATTTTTCCCCTCTGAATTCCCACCGAACCCTAATGTGTTACTAGGGTTAAGAAAGCTGCTCATAATTATTTTCAAAAAGTTATTGGCTCTTATTTTAAAAGCTTTGTTAACAAAAAGTATTTAAAAATATGACTAATAAAACTTCATTGGCCACTATCTCTGTTTCTTTAACAAGATGAAAGTAAAGGAAGATAGAAATTGACAAAAAAGAATCCGATGTAACAGAATGAGAATGACTTAGAAATCTAATTACCTATTTTGTCACTCAAAATCAGGAAGGTAACAGAAGAGAGCTTACAAAGAAAAAGGAGTTTCAAATACAAAAATAAAGCCTGCACAGTAAAAACAGGTCTAGTTGAGAAGGGTTGCAACCCTCAATATAATTTTCACAACTATAGAAAACACCAACATTCTTATTTACTTTAACTCATAATGCTTTGAACACACCTGTCATGAGGCAGTATTAAGGAATCTCGTACATGTGGAATAGGCATGAAAGGTTGTAAATCTTTGTTTTCTTGGCAAGCTTCATTGTGACTTCGTAAAACGTCTGAAAATAAACACATTTACAAATGAAATCAATCACTGGTTATCATAATATAGTTTATCACATAATGGCTATACAAAAAAATAGTTTAGATTTTTTTATTTTTACTTTTTTTTTTAATCCTCACTTGAGGATAATATTGCTTTTCAGAAAGTGGAAGGAAAGGAGGGGGAAGGAAAGAAAAAGGGAAGGATGAGGAGGAGATAAAAAGAGAGAGAGAAAGGAAGAGAAAGAGAGAAATCAATGTAAGAGAGATACATGAACTGGTTACCTCGCACATGCCCCAACAGAGGGTGGGATTCGAACACACAACCCACTGCCCTTGACTGGGAATCAAACCCGAAATCCTTCTGTGCCCGAGCTAATGCTTTAAGCACTGACCATGGCAATAGTTTAGATTTCTAAAAATACTATACCTATAATCTTTATCACCATATCATACATCTGTCTTGTTTCCTCTTCCTCTTTTGTCCAGCGATATTTCATGTAACGCAGAACAATACCAACCATCACCACACCTGCAATATTCATATATTTGCATTTTAAAAATTTGTGGTCAATGACATTCAATAACATTCATTGCAAAAAACAAGAAAACTCATGACAGTTTCTACAGTGATTATTTTAATTGCCAAAATGAGATAATAGAATGTGCATTGAAGAGAGTGGGTTGAATTAGCTACATAATTAAAACTATATAGAAAATTTTAATATTAAACATAATCCAGGTTTAACTTAATCTCACCTCTTTTGTTATGTTAACAACTGAACTGTTCTTTATAATTTTTAAAGTTTTTTCAATGTTTTAAAAATTTGTTAATAATTGCAACATTGAAATTCTAGCTATTAATTTTTTTGGGGGGGTTAAAGTTTTTTATTTTATTTTATTTGTAAAAATGATTGTTTCTTAGTCTAGTATTTAAGAGTTAGGCTATGTAATCGTGATGACGTTTGTCAAGATGTGTTTGTAAAAGTGAATTTTTGCTTGCCAGGGAAAGGATACTTTCAAACCATCATGTGAAGAATTCTGAGCATTATGTATTCAGCATGGGCATTTTTTCTTCTTTTTTCTTTCTTTAGACAGAATTATTATGCTATGTCTTGTTGAAAAGATGTTCAAGATCTTAATTGTGTTCTATTGGCCCCTTTAAAGTGACTCAGGATATTTTTCTTCGAGTGTGAGCCCTCTCACATGCCCCACACCTAATCTTTTCTTGGGATTTATCTCTTCAAATAATTAAAAGAATAACTTATTGGTTTGTGAAATAGTTCTTGTTATTCATTCGTTAAAATTCTTTAGGAGACCAGGAATTTCACCACATCTTTGGAGACCAACGAACCATTGAAGTGCACATAACTGACTGGGCAATCCTTTCTACTGGTCCCTTCTGCCTCTAGTAGTCTTTCAATGAAAATCTCAACTTCTTGGCTATTTCTTTTTCTGTTTTATCCCATATATCAGTTCTGATAAACTGGGGTGTTCACTGCAAATTCCTGCTCACACTGTAGTAGAACTGGGCCTAATATGCTACCATCAGAAACAAATGTTATGAAATTGATTTCTTACTTTTTGGAGGTGGCTGAGAGGTGACTCTATGTAGAACAAAGGAATCAACCATTTAAACTGGCTTGATAAGTTCAGCCAAGTAACTACTTGCCTATTTCACTTTTCACTAAATTAGCCAGATATTTCACAGAACTGAGTAAATAAATAAACACGACACTTCAGCACATAATTTTATGCTATCCTCATTTGCTACTTGAAAGTGTTCTTAATGTAACCATCAAATAACTGAAAATGGGTTTATAAACAATTTGCTTCATATGACAAGATAACCAGTAGAGCTTAATCTTTTTCCAAAGATTTCTCCAAAACACGAGGACTGCCTTAAAATGTAGGTCATTGGCAGCTATTAATTTTTGAAAACAAAAAAACTATTTCACATACTTTTAACTTTGCAGCTTTAAACTACTAGAAAACTGAATCTATTGGGATTAAACATACTATACCTTACTTTTTAGATAAATTAATTTATTTTTGAGGGACCTGGACAAAAAAATAACCTCATAAATTCCTATTTTCAATCAAAATAGTCATATAAAATTTAGGAACCTAAATAAAAATTTTAATTCAAGTAATATTTTTAAAATAAAAAATTATTTTAATAAGCATACATACCTTGCCATAATTAAAGTTATTTTATTTAAAATACTTATATTTTACTTTTAAAAACTAACTTTAATTTTTATATTTTCCAGTTCTATTTTAAAGTAGATTTCCACCTATGCACTATACCTGAATACTTTTTTCTAAACTGATGCTGACATTATTTTAAAAAACCTATATATTATTATATCTTAGAGGAGTTTTGGATGTGATTTATAATAAAATAAATTATCAATCCTAGCATTTAATGAAATACAGACACAAAAATTCTAAGATACAATGTATCTTCTTTGTCATCTTAACAACTTACCTAAACATAACAACAATAACCTGTGAGTGACAGTAATAAAAGCGCGCCGAAAACGACACCAAAAAGACATTAGCGGTCTCGTGGACTGTAAAAACTGCACATCAGTAACATTTGTCAGTTGTTCATCAGGGCCATTGCCGACACACCTATTTAAAAATAAAGGGAGAATTTAGAAGCAAAATCACTTTTGATACTACAAAATGATCAAAGTAAAAATTAAGTCCTTTATTACCTTATTCCAACATCTTTTCCATTTTCAAAAATCCACTGTAATGACATGTTAAATATATCTTCATATTCAGGACCTAAATTCTAATAAGAAAAATAAAGAACATAACTAATTATTCTTAATAGTTCACATTCATTTGACTCTTATAATTAACATATAGTTTAAAGTACATAATACTTTAAACTATACTGCATAACAAAAAGTATTACTCATTACAGAAAAGTAAAAGAAAGAAAGTTAGCATTTCCCCACCACTCTAAGATAATTATGGTTAATATTTTGCTATGTTCTCTTTTTGTTTTGTTTTTTACATTTAAAAATGTGTTTTTTAATATCTTTTTAAGTATCATCAAAAGAGTGAATTAGCAATTTTTTAAAATTTCACACTATTTTTAAATGGACAAATGACAAAAAATTCAGATGTGGCTATTTCATGGACATTTTCTCAAAAAGTAAAGACATCGAGACTCAAGAAAAACAACCGACGATATATTACTAATGACAAAATTCAAACTCTCAAGTGATAAGTTGAATTTTTAAAAACTTGTATCCATAACTATGAGATTGACAGCTTCACAATAACTTGAAAACCCCTTACAATAAGACTGGTGTGATATTAATGAATATGACTTTGGGGTATGACATAATAAAATATGTCAACATATGGAAGACCTATATAACCAGTAAACCAATATCTTCCAAATGACCAAAGCATAAGTTACAAAATCTTATACAGGTAAAAAAATCCATTCTAGTGCAAAGCAGACTAATGGACTTTAAAGACTAAGAATGAAAAAGTTTAAACATGGTTTCATATTCCACATTGCAACTAATCTTTAAGAAACTACTATTTGTAGAATTTTAATGTGGTATCAAATAATAACTATAATTATTTAAGTATCAAAATACTTTTCCCTGAAATAAATCAGTCAAAGAAAGATAAGCATCACATGATCTCACTCATATGTGGAATGTTAATGAACTGAATAAACTCATGCTCAAAAATAGACCCAGTGTCCTATTGTTGAACCTGGGAGGGAAGGCAGAGGAGGGTGAGTGGGAAGAGACCAACCAATGAACTTGTATGTATATAGACACAACCTGTGGGCACAGACAATGGGGTGCTGAGGACCTGGGGAGAGAAGGGGGAAACGGATGGGAGCTGGCTGGAAAAGGTTAATTGGGAGCAAAGGGAGGAGGGGGCTTATATAATATTTTCAATAATAAAGATTTTTTTTTTTAAAAAACTTTTCCCTGTTTTGACTACATTATCTGTATATGACTAAACTTTATTATGTATTTATACCAAACCACAACATAACAGATCAGAAGCAAATATGAGAAACCAATTGCCTTTTCCTAAGCTACACATTAAATAAATTTGCAAAAGGGAGTCAAGATGGTGGCCGGCAGGACGGCAATGAGGGAGAGAGTGAGAGTGAGGGAATGAAAGAGGAGTATGTGGACGTGTGGTGCATTGTGTGTGTGTGTGTGTGTGTGTGTGTGTACTCCCAGGGCTACTGGCTCTAGCTCAGAAAACATGCCATCTTGAAGAGGAGAGCTGCTGTGACTAGGAGCCCAGCCTCACCACCACCCAGACTGACCTCAGACACCATCCCAGACACTACAGCCACTCCTGCCAAAAAACTGCTATCTCATCCGCAGACCCACAGACACTGGGACCACAGCTTCCCTGACCTCAGACACTTGTGAGCCCTGAGTGCACTCCCCTCCCACTTCACCCACAGTCCCTGTGCAGCACGTAGGTACTCTGGTGAGAGCAAAAATGGGGAGCCAAAGTAACAACCCCCAAAAGGGGGGAAGGAGAAATGGCCAGAAAAGAAACTAAATGAAACAGTGGCTTTCAATATGTCAGAAAAATAATTCAAAGTAAGGATCATACAGTTCCTAAACCTGCTGGATGAGAAATTCAAGAACTTATGGAAGAATCAAGAGGAAATCAAGAATGATACAGTTACAATAAAAAACACAATGGAAGGTTTCAATAGTAGGATAGAAGAAGCGGAAGACCAAATTAGCGAGTTAGAAGAAAAGGTGGTAAAACACACTCAATCTGAACAGCAATTGGAGAAAAAAATTAGAAAGCAGGAGGAAAGCCTAAGGAAGATTTGGGACAACATGAAACAAGGCAACATACATATAATAGGAGAGCCAGAAGGACAAAAAGAGGAATTATTAGAAAACCTATTTGAAGAAATAATGACAGAAAACCTCCCTGATTTGGAGAAGTTAAAAAACCACAAGGAGTCTCAAACAAGAAGAAGCAAAAAAAGACCCACACCAAGATACGTTGTAATTTCAATGGCAAATGTTAATGACAAAGAGAGAATCTTATATGCTTCCAGAGAAACAGAGTTACTTACAAGAGCTCTTAGATTATCAAATGATTTCTCAACAGAAACACATCAGGCCAGAAAGGAATGGAAGAACATATACAAAATGATGCAAAAGCAAGGGAATGAATCCAATAATACTCTATCCAGCAAAGCTAGCATGCAAAATTGAAGGGGAAATCAGGCGCTTTGCAGAACAAAAATGGCTAAAGGATTTTATCACTACTAAGCCAGCAATGCAAGAAATGCTAAAGGAACTGTTGTAAAAATAAGAAAAAGAAGAACACAGGCATAAAGAATAAAAATGGCTATAAACAAGTACCTATCAATAATAACATTATACCTAAATGGATTAAATGCTCCAATCAGCCCAAACCGGTTTGGCTCAGCGGTAGAGCGTGGGACTGCAGACTGGAGGGTCCTGGGTTCGATTCCGGTCAAGGGCATGTACATTGGTTGCAGGCACATCCCCGGTAGGGGGTGTGCAGGAGGCAGCTGGTCGATGTTTCTCTCTCATCGACATTTCTAGCGCGCGCGCGCGCGCGCGCGCGCGCGCGCGCTCTCTCTCTCTCTCTCTCTCTCTCCCCCTTCTTCTCTGTAAAAAATCAAAATATATTTTATAAAAAAAAATGCTCCAATCAAAAGACGTCAAGTGCCTGAACGGATAATAAAACATGACCTATATATATGCTATCTACAAGAGACCCACCACAGAACAAGGGATTCATACAGACTGATAGTGAAGAGGTGAAAAAATATTTTTTCAGGCACATAAAAATGAAAAAAAAAAAAAAAGCTGGGTAGCAATGATTATATCTGACAAAATAGACCTCAAAATGAAGGCCATAACAAGAGATAAGAAAGGTCACTTCATAATACTAAAGGGATCGATACAACAAGAGGATATAACTCTGGTAAACATATGCACCCAATGCAGGACCACCCAAAAACATAAAATAAACTTCTGGAAGGTATCAAGGGAGAGATCAACAGCAATACGATCATATTAGATTTTGACATCACTGGGTAAATCCTCTAGACAAAAAAAAATCAACAAAGAAACAGCAATCCTAGCTGACTCATTAGATCAGATGAACTTAATTGACATATTCGACAACATTTCACCCCAAAGCTATGGAATATACATTATTCTCAAGTGCACACAGGATATTTTGAAAGACAGACCACGTATTGGGACACAGGGAAAATCTCTTCAAATTAAAGACAGAAATCATATTGAGCTTCTTCTCAGATCAGAATGGCATCAAATTAGAAATCAACTACAATAAAAACAATAAAAAAATCAAACACTTGGAAGCCAAATAACATGTTATTAAACAATGATTGGGTTACCAAAGAGATCAAAGAAGAAACAAATAGCATCCTGGAAACAAATGACAATAAAACACAAAATTCCAGAATCTATGGGACACAGTGAAAGCAGTCCTGAGAGTAAAGTTCATAGCTCTACAGGCCTACTTCAAAAAAACCAAGAAAAATGGTAATAAATTATTTAACCCTACAACTTAAAGGATTAGAAAGAGAGAAACTAGAAAAGCTCAGAGTAAGCAAAAATAAGGGAATAATAAAGATCAGAGTGGAAATAAATGACAAAAAGACCAAAAGACAAACAAAAAAAACTCGATAAAACTAAGAGCTGTTTCTTTGAAAGAATAAACACGACAGATGCTCATCAAAAAGCAAAGAAAAAAGCAAAGAGAGAGGATCCAAATAAACAAAATCAGAAATAAAAAAGGTGAAATAACAACAGACCCCACACAAATACATATGATTGTAAAAAAAGAAAAATACTATGTACAACTCTATTCCAACAAACGAAACTGGTCAACCCAGAAGAAATGGACATATTCCTAGAAAAATAAACTTCTAAATCTCAATCAGGAATAAAAAAACCTGAATAGGCTGATAACTACCAATGAAATTAAAGCAGTAATAACAAAAAGCTTCCAGCAAACAACAGCCCTGGGCCAGGCAGCTTCACAGGGAAGTTTTACCACATTTTAAGAGAAGAACTAAAACTCTCCTCAGACTATTCCAAATCAAGAGGAAGGAATACTTCTAAGCTCTTTCTATGAAGCTATAATTACCCTAATTCCAAAACCAGATAAAGACACTACAAAGAAAGAGAATTATAGGCCAATCCCTGATGAACACAAATGCTAAAAACCTCAACAAAATTCTAGCAAATCAAATCCAGCATTACATTAGAAAGATCATATACCATGACCAAGTAGAATTTATTCCAGGGATGCAAGACTGGTACAATATTTGCAAATCAATAAATGAGATACATCACATAAACTGAGAGTGAAAATTACATAATCATATCAATCCTATTTAATAAAAGCCCAGCGACTGAAATGGCGGAAGGACAGAATGACTGGAGATCAGAATGATGGCACTGACTGGTCCCGCCCCCTAGCGGGGAACCCCACCCTTATCGGGGATGTGGACAGCCTGCAAACTGCCCACGGCCCCTCGCTCTGGCTGGCCCTGCTCCCCAGTGAGGATCCCGTACTTGATCAAGGCAGGCCAGCCAGCCCACACCTGTGCACTGGGCCTCTATCCTATATAATAAAAGGGTAATATGTAAATTGACCCCAATGGTGAACGACCAGAACAACCGCTTGACCAGTCACTATGAGGTGCACTGACCACCTCTAGGTACCTTTCCCCAGCCGATAGGCTCAGATCGCCCAATGGCAAAC